TCGCTGTAGTGCTGACTCAAGACGCTGTCACTCCATGTGGATGAAGGGGGAGGAGGTGAATGGAGAGACAGATAGCATCAGATGGAGAGATGGAGGATGAAGGGCAGGACTTTGAGGTCCGTTAAGCAGGCGGTCGTGACTCAGGGATTCTTGTCCATATGTCTGTTGGAGGTGCAGATCAGAGTGAGTGGTTGTTGCTTCACAGTCTTATTATCATTATTTGGACTCAACTAATTAAAAAAGAATACACTGTGCTCTGGGACAGGAAACAAGTGGCTCACCAGATATAGAAATGTTTAGAGACTTTGTTGTGTAAATCTTCAACATCTATTTTAGTGTTTCAGAGACATATTGTCCAAAGCTCCTGCTAGTTTCTGACCCTGGTATAACATGGTGAGCAGATGGACACACAGAGAGTCTGTATGGAACAGAGCTGAAGGTCACTGAACTGCTGCTTGTTCCAGAGTCAAACATGCAGAGACGGAGACGTCGAAGTGCCAGATAAACACAGGGATAGACAAACAGACGAAGAGTAAAGTGAGAATATACAGTACAGACTTGGATGTTTGGGATCCAAACTCCAAATTTCAGCCAGTCAAAGATTTATTGTGCTTAATCCAGGGTTCTGGGTTTAAAGTCAATGAGTCACAGAGCAGGATTTGGTTCACAGAACACAAAGTCCGAGAAGCTTCACCGAGGATCCAGAACACAGGATTTGGAGCTCGTAATCCACTGCTGCGTTTTAGGGCAGGATTTGAGATTCAGTTTTTTGGACTTTTTTCTGTGGAATGTCTGTGGAACTCTGAACAATGAGGTTTCTGTTCATGTATTTGAATGATTTGATCCAAATGTTTGTCTTGTTAACGGTTAATGACTTTCCACCAAAAGTGAAATAGATTTTCTCAAATATCAGTTGTGCTGTGACATTTAGAAAAAACTCTACAGTTCATGGTGTTCAGTTTTGGTTGAGCTGTAAGTCTGAGGCTGGGTTTTATTTTTAATCCAAACCAGTTTTAGTGTATTTTGTATTGTACTCGTCGTCTCCAGGTCCAGAGAAATGACCACTAAACAGATGGACACAGAGTTTTTAAGTGAAAATTGATGAGAGTCGTGATTGTCCCCAGACTTCACTGATCATTTCTTGATTTTTTTCTGCACCACCTGCTCTGCCTCCTCTCAGGACTACAGAGTGAACATCTTCCTGAGGCAGCAGTGGAACGATCCTCGGCTGGCGTACAGCGAGTACCCCGACGACTCGCTGGACCTGGACCCCTCTATGTTGGACTCAATCTGGAAACCTGACTTGTTTTTTGCCAATGAAAAAGGAGCCAACTTTCATGAGGTCACCACCGACAACAAGTTGCTACGCATCTCGAAAAACGGAAATGTGCTCTACAGCATACGGTGAGTCAAAGAAGTTTAATCTCCATTGATGTAAGGTAACTTTAATCTGATAATCTGATAAATTAGAAATGAAAGAATCCATTATCCAGTTGTGACCTGTTTCAGAAAGTTGACCACAGTTTCTTTGACTTTGATTTTCGAATTTCTCCAAAAGATAAAAAAAAATAATTAAAATGTCCGACATTCACTTCACGGAGACTTCTGTAGAAAGAGCTGCAGTGCAGCTGCAGTTTGAATACTCCCATAGTAAACAACAGACAGACACAGTGTCCAGTGAAACAGTAATGAGCTGCTGACACCTGCAGTGTTGGTAGTGTATCATCACTGAGACAGTAGTTGATTCATTCAACAGGTGAAGGCAGCAGCACAACCAATTTTGTAAAAGAAAAAAAAAAGAAACAAATGGATGGATGGATGGATGGATGATGGTTGACATCATGGTTATTACGATCTTTTATCTGTATCTTCTCATCGCCTTATAATTGGAAGTGTATTTCCTCCTTTGCTCTGCTTCCTCCTGTCCATTTCCTCATCAAATCTAAAAGACTTCCCGTTCAAGGCTGTCAGAGTTACGGCCGCCTTCAGCCGCCAAACCTTTCAGCCTGTAGGCTTTTATTGCCTCTGCTCAGGTGGCGAGTGAGATACTGAAGCAGCGTTTGCTCAGCCTCTTAGTATTCCAACTGTGAGCCTGCTGTTGTTATCAACCTCAGTTTTCACCTTCATGTCCAGCAGGGGGAGGAGAAGAGGATGGCTCTTTGTAAATATCATCAGAACGTTGCACAGTGTTCATTTTTTAACTTGTCAAGATCAGAATGAGCTCTCGCCTTGATCAGCTCCCTTGATCTCGGAGGCAACAAGGCGACCCGGGATATTAAACCGTCTGGAGGGTAGAGGGAGAACAGGGGTCTTATAAATGCTGTTTACTCTTCGCTTTTGATGTTTATCGCGCTGCAGTGGAGCAATAGAAGCAGACAGGACTGATGGTCGCGTCGCCTCCGAGATGAAACCTAATTTTTCCTGAGATCCTAAGAAGTGATTCACATGTTCTTCCACATCCTGGCGTACATTAAATGGCACCAGGTCTTCGCCTGATATGACATATGGTCGCAGACGTGTATGTGCACAGAGATACTGCTGATTTCAGCTCTGCCTCTACCACATGGTTTGACATTTTACTCCAGGGTGATTTATACAGAATGCCTGAAACTGTCTGTAGAGAAAAAAAAGAATTAAGGCTCATACAGTCCCTTCTTTTTATCAATGGTGATGGTGATATTGATAAAGACTTCTGTCTGAATTGTACGATATATTACACATATATTCAAATGTACACTAACAAATCCCAACCTAAAGAAATATAGTGAAAGGGCAAATAAGTCGTTGCGTTTTGTTTGTGGCCAAACAGTCATGTCTCACCGTCTTTTCTTCCTGTGACAGTGAAGTAGATTTGATAATTTTTTTGTAAAGAAATCCCTTTAACAGAAACACCCACAGAGTTGGAGCTGCAGCTCTGTGTGATCGTGAAGAAAGGCATAAACTTAGTCAGCATGTGGCGTTTAGGTGTCAGGATGCAGCAGAAACAGAAACTTCAGCGTAAAGTAAGTGGGACATCTGCGGAATGTACAGTTTCTGTGTGTGTGTGTGTGTGTCTGTGTGTGTGTGTCTGTGTGTGTGTGTGTGTGTAATACATATTCAGCGTTCTGTCAGCCACTTGTAACAGTGTGCAGACGATGTGCATACTCAATGTGCAGATGCAGCAAAGTTTATTTGGTACATGAGGCTGTGTGTGTGTGTGTGTTATTGCGTGTTTGTGTGTATGGGTTACATCAGAAAGAATAAGTATTTTCAGGGAAGTCACTTTCTGACTGACAACCCAGACTGCAGGAACGGCACAGCAGCGTCAGTCAGAGCAGGAAGCAGATTTAAAATGGACTTTTGAACATCACTCGTATTCAGAGGTGGAAAAAAAAAGTCAAAATGTCTGCTGGG